GGCCGCCGGCCTCGCCCCGCCCAGCCCAGCCCGACCTAGCCCAGCCTCTCCAGACACAAGCGGAGCAAGCGGAGTCGGGCTGGGCCCCGCTAGCCCAAGGGGGTTTGCACTCTTGACCCGGGCCCACCATGCTCCTCCCCCACCTTCCTCAGCCCTTAACCTCCCATGTCTGGGCTATATAGCCCCATCCACTCAGGGCCAGAGCTGGACCCTGGGCTGCACCATGGCAGACGCTTATACAGTCCCTGAAGACAACTTTTCACTGAACTCAGTACCTGTCAAAGCTGCCCATTTCCTCTCAAGGCAGCCTTGTTTTTCAGAAAGTTCCCCCTGAGTCTATCTAAACTCTTTTTTCTAGGAGATTTCCAATTGTGGAGCTCAGCTCTGCTCCTTAGGGCCACAACAAATTCTCTACTGTCTCTAACAGCTTCTCAGAGGTCTGAAGACCCCGTGTCACCAGGAAATTTCTCTTCTTTTGGCTAAACTGCCTCATCTCTTCCAACACTTCATCCATTCTCTTTCGTGGGGGTCTTTTCCCATCACACTTCTTTCCTATCTTTGCTTGGTTTTCATTTTCATCAGAATTGAGATCTTCTTGATACTGTCTTCTACTCTCTTTTCTCCCACTAAATCCACTCCATTCTCCTCAAATCAGTGCCCTAGTACTTTAGCCTGTCCACAATACATTCACTTTCTGATGAGGCTGTAATTCCCTCAGATGAGGTGCCACTCATTTTCTAGGCCCTTGGGATGATGTGTCTGAGAGTGACCTTTCTACTTCTTGTTAAGGTCAGAAAATCTCCTCAGGATAGCAGTGTTCTAGATGGGAGAAGCTATACAGTTAAGTGTGAATTTCAGTTTGAAGTTGACTGGCCATAGTTCTTTTTTATTCTCTCCACTGGCAACTGGGCAACGGCATGGCTTGAGTAACTTTTGTGAGCCAGTGTGGGACAGTGGAAATGATATTTGAACATGGCACTCATGACATCTGGCTTCTACTCCTAGCTCGGCCATTAACTCATTCTGTGACCTCTGTGTGGTCTTCGGTAAGTCCCTTCCGCTCCCTGGTCTTGAGTTTCTTTTCTGTAACAAAGAACTGAATTCCTGGGCTTCCAAGGTTCTTTCCTACTGTGACATTATGAAGGGATGAGAAAGGAAGCAGACTGCCTAGAATGATGGATGAACCTAGTAGTGTTGCACAAGGGCTTGTATTTGCACTCAAGAACCAGCAGCTCTATTCCCCTCTTCTCTGCTTTTCCAACTTAACAGTGCCATGAGCCAATGTGCCTCAGTTTTTCTCACTACTGCCAAGATTCATTGATAGGGCCTGTCCCCGGGTTCAGCCTACACAACATCCTAGACTTCCAGATTCATATGCCCCACCCCCACTCCTACCCCATTGTTGGCACTGTAGTCATGGTGGAGGGAACAGCAGTGGTGAAGGAGAACTGGCCAGGCACCAAGGCTAGGATTTTTATAACTGGCCTGATGAGTCATTTGATGAAATGGACAGTCTGCTTGCTGTTCAGCAACAGAACATAAGGGCAAATTGCCACAATATTGACAAAATTTTTGAACCACGTGAGGGCCAAGTTGGAGGTATATAGAAGCATGAACATTTAAGGCAATTCAGTGTTGAATTAAATGAACTTGCTGTCAAACTTCAGAGTGAATGACATCCAGATACTTGTTCTCAGATGACAGCAACTGAATGATGGTTTTTTTCTTTGTGCAACTCATAAAACTCCAAGACTATCATGCTATAGACTAATACTAGACACACATTTGATGGTTCTGTATGTCTTCTGAATAACAATAAACATTTTCCCTGCAGGGTTAGCATAAACGAATCATCTGTAGCAAAAGTAGGGTCTGTATGTCATAGAATTTATAGAGTATTTTCACATTTTTCATCACCAGTGAATATTTGATGAATAGGAAAACATTTTTATGTCACTGTTTTATTAAATTCATGTTGAAATGTAGCCTGCTGTCCAAGGATAACCTGATTGTACCAACTTTGGAAGAAAAAGTTCAGAATTCAGTTTCTGGGGAAAGTGAAGCATGAGGGGAATCATAGAAAAGCATATTGATCCCATTATTAACATTAATTATGTACTATATATATTATTCTAGATACATCAATCATATATCCATATTATAGCTTCTTTGTTCACATTTTTGTATGCTGTGTGTTGCCTTTTAAACTAGAAAAAACTTAAGTTATTCATGATCTATATATTCACTTATGTTGCACTCGTGGTTTTTAAATTAGGTTATTATTATCTGTTTATAATTCCTGTTAATACCAGTTATGTGTTATTGTGAAACCGTAAAGACTAAAAAGAGGGCCCAGTAAGTAAATTCTATAGTTTGAAGTTAAATAAGTAGAAAATTGAGGTAAAGTACCATTCCACATGAAGTGGTAGAAATCCTATAAAGATAAACAGATCATTTAGATGAACTTAAATATTACCTAAGTGGTCTCTTTTATCTTAGACACTGTTGTTTTGGGTTCGAAAGGAAAAGCTCAACCATTCCAGGGATTTCACATTGACACGACAATGCAAGGACTTGGCTATACAAGTGTTTGAAGTCTAAAAGTGAAAAAAATGTAGATGCTGTGATAAGTGGCTACCACAGTAGGGAATAAAAAAACATATTCAGAAAGACAAATACTGCATGTTTTCTCTCCTATGTGGAATCTACTGGTGGGGGGAAAATGACACAGAAGTAAAAGGGACACTATTAGGGAAAGAGAAGGAGACCAAGGAGAAGAGGTATGAGAGGGTAATAGAGAGGGTGGATAATATCAAAGTACATTATATGCATCTATAAAAATGTCATGGGAAATTCCATTACTTCATACAATTACTATGTATTAATAATTTTAATAATAAAAAGTTGGTTTCACTCTCAAAAAATAAATAAAAGAATTTACAGTTTATTAAAAAATAAGAAAGAATGAAAGAAAGACTCATTCACGGTTCTAGGGTAAACAAAGTTCCTCACCTTGAATATTTCTTTGAGCTGAGCATTTTTCCTCAGGTATAGCAGCATTTACCAGAAAGCCTCACCAGCAAGGATAGCAATGGCAGTAAATCACACTCCTTGACACTACAATTTGCTCCCCCCCCAGGAGTTTAAGAAACTCACTGATTCCTTCATTCATAGTGACATAAGGGTGGGCACAGAGGTCTAGCACTAGGCTAAATGCCTCAAAGTGAAAGGAGAAGTTGATCAGAGACTTCAACTTTCTAGAAAGTGGAAATCCCCTATGTGTCATTCTCCACACACACACACACACACACACACACACACACGTGCACACACACACACATGCACACATAGGAGAGCTGAGTAGAATGTCAAGCTACTATCAGCTAAATGCGCTACTAAAATTGGGGACAACAGGAGTCCAAGTAAAGCTAAGAGGTTTTACAGGATGTAGTAGCTGACAAAATGGGTAGAAAGAGGAGCTGAGGGAAAGGGATAAGGTTGGACTCCTGGGGAAGAGAAGGATAGGAGATGAAAGATTATTAGACTTTTGTTCCAGCCTTCACTACAAATCTGGGGCACTGAGGATCAAAGAGAAGAGAGGACTGGATAAAGAAGATGTGTTTTTTCTATAAAATGGAATACTACTCAGCCATAAAAAATGAGAAATTAGATTCATTCGTAGGAAAATGGATACATATTGAGGATATACTCCTAAGTGAGATAAATAAGTCACACATGTGTAAATACCGAATAGTTTCTCTGCTGTGAATAAACTGTAATAGTACATAAGATCCTAATGAGATAATTGACAATGTGGAAATGGGAAGAAAAAAGCTAAAGGTATGGGGAAGATGGGAAGGACAGGGGAAAGGTAATAACGGAAAAGAAAAAAAAATATGAGAAAATGGAAAGATGGAAAAAAGTGTAAATGGGGAGGGGAGGAGGGGGTGAAGGGAGGGCAGGGACAAGGGGAAAAAATGAGAACCAAGACCTGTCACGTAGAGGTACAAGATCCCAATAATGAATGTAACTGTACTGTATACCTAAAATGTACCAATAAACTCAATTAAAAGAAAAAAAAAGAGAGAGGAAAGGACTTACCCAAGGTTACCATGAGGAGTATGGAATAATAAAGGAGACAAAAACTCAGTTAAGAAACAGTTTCAAGGGCCTGGTGTGGTGGTACAATCTTGTAATCTCAGCAATTAAAAATTTAGTGAGACTCTGTTTCAAAATAAAAAGGGATGGAGATGTAGCTCAGTGAACGTCCTAGGTTCAATACCAAGTACCACAAAAAAGAACTACATAACAACTGATTTATGTGAAAGCATATGCCATGCTCAATGGAGAGATGAAATCAGACTTATAATCACCTCTCCATATATTGTTCTCACCCTACATCTAGGCTCACAGCAGTAAAGAAGCTTTTGCATACTGAATGGCAATCCTTTTTCAGAGGACTTAGTGCAGTGCAAGAGAGGAGACTGAGGAAATGAACTGGATGTGTAACAATCCTGAATCACAGGGACACTTCAAAGGAAGAAATCCCTCACCCAATCTATCGCATGGTAGCAGTTGAAAGTTTCCCATCACAAAAACTTTTTGTGGGCTGCTTTTCATTTTCATCAGTGTTGGGAAGTCCCTTTTTACACCTAAATTAGATATTTTATGCTTTACTCAGCACATTTGTTCTTGGTTGCTCCTTAGCAAAAGAATGAACAAAGCTGCTTTTCTCCATTCACAGAAGAGAAATGTGTCAGAGAGAGATGAAGACAGCCATCAATGTGAGGTTATACACTCTGAGACCATCTCACTCTCTTCATTCCATGGGCCAGCCGCCCAAACACTTGACTAGTTGTGCCCCTCGCACAAACAAGGTAATAAGCTGAAAAATGCACTGT